TGAGACGGTGGATCACGGAGGTCAGGAGATCGGAGACATCCTGGCTAACACCGTGAAACGCCCATCTCTACAAAAAAATACAAAAAAACTAAGCCCTGGTGGCGGCACCTGTAGTGCGTACGCTTGGAGCTGTGAGCAGGAGACTGGCGTGAACCCGGGAGGCAGGAGCTGTGTGTGTGTGTGTGTGTGTGTGTGTGTAGTGCTCATAGCTTTCTTATGTATCTTCTTTTTCCATTGAAGAGGCTGTAAATTCCTGTAAATTCACTCCTAACTCAGAGTCTAGGCTAATTCTGATATTAATTCTATATTCTGACATTGAGCATAGAGTCAACTCAGTTCTTGATCCAATCTCGCCCTACAGCCAACATGAAAAATGGCCTTCTTGCTGTCTTTTCTACACTTTGTCTCTATCATGTGCCTCATCATATACTGTGCCTGAGAGTCCACCTTGGTGACTGTGTCTCTCTGGTTCTGTCAATCTCCTTCTAAGACAGGTGTTTTCTTATGGCTAGGAGCTGCGATCTACGGATACAAACTGGCTTCCTGGCTTCTCAAATCTTGGAAAGTGACTGCTTCTGGATTTTCTGCCACCAAGCATCGCCTAACCATCACATAACCCTGTTTTGGACCTCTGGATTTCACAACTCCCCTGAGTTGCTACCTGCTTCAATTACCATGTTTTCCCCACTTGCCCTGCATCTCTCCCACCATCTGCAATATGAGTCCGTCTCCCTCCAGGCCTACCCTGTCCATGTCCCAGGGTACACCACCATCAGCTATCCAAATTCTACCAGTGCTTTAAGGCTTAGCTATAAACCACCTTTTTAATAAAGTTCTCCCCACGTACCCTACCCTCCCACCTTTCCTTCCCTGCCTACCCAGCCACCGTCTCTGGACTGACAGCACTGAAGACAATACCACTCACGTACCTTTCAGTTATTTTTAGAAAATACTTTAATATATACAAAAATGAAATTGGGAACATAATAATTATTATGATGCTGTGCTTCCAAAAAATACTATATTATTATATCATTGTCCCCGCCTTGGGACAATGCTCATGCTCCCATGTAACATAGTATATGCTTATGATATTTTGTTTCCTAATTGATTATTAATTTCTAAATGGAGAAGGACATATAGTCGATGACAGTTCAGGTAATGACGAACTGCATACACAATGGTCATCTTACAAGATGACAATACCATATTTTAACTATACCTCGTCTATGTTTAGATACACAAATACTTGCCATTATGTTGCAATTGCCTACAGTATTCAGCACATGCTATATAGATTTGTAGCGTAGGAGGAATGGGCTACACCATACAGCCTAGGCGTATCATAGGCTATGCCATGTAGGTTTGTGAAAGTATATTATATAATGAAATCACCCAATGACACATTTCTCAGACTATATCCCCATTGTTAAACAACACAGGACTGTATCTCAGTCATTTCTGTATTTTCCACAGACTCTTGCATAGCACTCTCCATCTAGGTCATTAAACTGTAACGCTTATAAGAGCTTAAGAGAATAAAATCCAACTTTAAATGGCATCTTGGATCATTTAAGATACCTGGAGCATCATTCTTATCAATGTTTTACAAGTTTCTCTCTTAGCCCTGTTGGGACTCAGAAAATAATACCCCAAAGTGAAGGCCTCAAAGGCAGCCTCAGAATCAAAAGTTTTTCTCTGACCTTCCCTGCCCTGCTGTCTCCGGCCCCTCTTTCTCCCCTGAGGCGGTCATAGAAACTAGAATCTATTTTCCTCAAAGCCAGCCATAAAACCTAAAAATATTACCCTAACTTCTCCCCGCTTACGTATTTTTCAGTGCAAAAAATTAGCCCTAAAGAAGTTATCTGACCTACCTTGTTTGACTGTAGGTCATAAGACAGACCTACATTCCAGAGAGGGTCCTGCCCCACACCCAGAAGGAAGCAGCAGAAAACCACACACCACCTGTTCTCACTTGTAAGTGGGAGCCGAACAGTGAGAACACGTGGGCACAGAGAGGGAAACAACACACACTGGGGCCTGTCAGGAGGATGGGGGGAGGGAGAGCATCAGGAGAAACAGCTAATGCACGTGGAGCTTAATACCTAGGTGATGGGTTGACAGGTGCAGCAAACCACCTTGGCACACGTTTATAACTATGTAACAAAACTGCATGTGCTGCACATGTATCCCAGAACTTAAAATAAAATTTTAAAAAATAAAAATAATCCTTGGGTATATACCCAAAGGATTATAAATTATGCTGCTATAAAGACACATGCACACGTATGTTTATTGCAGCACTATTCACAATAGCAAAGACTTGGAATCAACCCAAATGTCCATCAGTGACAGATTGGATTAAGAAAATGTGGCACATATACACCATGGAATACTATGCAGCCATAAAAAAGGATGAGTTTGTGTCCTTTGTAGGGACATGGATGCAGCTGGAAACCATCATTCTTAGCAAACTATCACAAGAACAGAAAACCAAACACCGCATGTTCTCACTCATAGGTGGGAACTGAACAATGAGATCACTTGGACTCAGGAAGGGGAACATCACACACCGGGGCCTATCATGGGGAGGGGGGAGGGGGGAGGGATTGCACTGGGAGTTATACCTGATGTAAATGACGAGTTGATGGGTGCAGCACACCAACATGGCACAAGTATACATATGTAACAAACCTGCATGTTATGCACATGTACCCTACAACTTAAAGTATAATAATAATAAATAAATTTTAAAAAAATAAAAATAAAAAAAATAAAAAAAATAAAATAAAATAAAATAAAATAAATAAATAAAAATAAAACATCTAGAGAGTAACTCAAAAAAAAAAAAAAACAAAACAAAACATCTAAACAGAGAGGCCTTGCTGGGCTTCCCTTCTCAGTCTAAGAGCATTAATTGGGTCATACTATTTTTGTCCAGCCACATTTCTACATGGCTGTCCGTATTTGGTTGAACCTAAGCATAAATATAGACAGTTTCCCTGTATCTTTCGATCTTCATTTCAACTCTTATTTTCTCTAAATCTGAGCTGCTCTTGTAGCATGTAAAACTCTAATCAAATAAATTCATAGGTTTTTTTTCCTGTTAATCTGCCTTTTGTCAGTTGATTTCCAGTGAACTTTGGCGCCCCCCCGCCCCCACACTCCTTTGCTTCAAACTACTATGGAAAGGTACTGGCAAAACTCTAAATAATCATAAATTTTAAAGGAAGGGTTAAAAAAATAGTTCAATAAGATGGGTAAGATTGAATAGCCAGTCTTAGAGCAGAAGCTAACAACTACTAAAAAAAAAAATTCTTTCTTAACATTTTGTCCTCATCTACCAGAAATCATAGTTCAGAGAGTAAGAATATGCCTGCATTACTTCAGATTGGTTTCTTGGCTTCTCTTTACCTCAGAATACTCATATCTGAGACACCTACTGTCAGATCACAAGTAGAACATAAATACCAATCAGATAACAATATAACCTATTTTGAATTTCTCAGGAGCTGGGAACAATATGAATGCAAGGTGCTTTTTTATTTTTAAGTTAATTGAAGGCAATCACTTCCAGAACTGATTTCCCTTTACACATTAAGCTCAAATCAGGAACAATTTATATGACTTCTGTCAGTTCTGATTGAACATTATAACTAGAATTAATGTCTTACCTGTGAGAAAAAACTTCCTGAGCTATTGCTATGGTGGGTGAGTGCTCTTTACCTTTTCAGAGTAGCATTTTGCCAGATTGGCTTAATTGGACACTTAGAGTATTGATGTCCCAGTAAGAGATAAAAGTGGTCCTTAATTAGATTAAAAGAAAAATTTCCTCAGCAAAAGTTATCCCATAGCCCAAGTCATAATTAAAACTATGCAATCACATGAAATTTTTAAAATTATAAAATGAAATAAATCCTATCAATCAGCCAAGTTTTTACTATGAAATAGTCAACAGACCTTCTTTTGGTTCTGCTCCTACTGATTTTGTAGGAATTTCCAAAATTTGAAGGCTATTTTTGGCTCTGATTTCAAATATTCTGAGAATAACACAAGCAGATCAGCAATTAGAGTTGCACAGGTTCACAACAGAAGAAGATTAAAAATAGAAGCTTCATTACCTCTCCTTTTGGTATGCCCAAACTAATATCTTGCACAGCAATAATCTTCTGGAAAGAGCGTCGATAGTGTTTACTCAGGTTGTATAACACAAGAATGTCTCCACTGGTCCTTCCTTCAAACACCCTCATTTTCTCTTTTTCAACATCTATATCCTTGGAAGATTTGACTATGCCTTGGAGAGTAGATTGACCCCTGGGAAGATGAAATCAGAGTGAATTCACACCTGGCAAATGATACCGGAATAGTCTAGAAGAGGGAAAAGGGTCAGAGATTTGTAAATAATGGAAGATACTGCCTTTGGACTTCTGCACAATCAACTTTGTCCAGAGCACTCCAGTTCTGCCATCCTGATTATCAGGCAAGAATCCATTTTTATTGTCTAACATAAATGAAATATACATGTTCCTAAAAGATATTGAAATGGATTGACACTAAACTACAGCTAGTTTTGAATTTTATGAATAATAAAGTCATGCCAGACTTTTATACTAAATGTCAAAATAGCTTATCACAAAATTATTATAAGGCATTTACCTAATAAGCACTTTTACTAAAAGAGCCATTTAACAAATTAGACTGCATATAAAAGTACTCAAACATTGTAAGTTTATAGTATATGTTGAATCATATAAAAGGATTATGTAACCAGCACTTGCACAATACTTTGCAAAAAGTATTCAATAAGTATCTATCAGAGTAATGCAAATTTCATTTTCAACGCTTATTTTCTCTAAATCTGAGCTGCTCACTTTTTAATCTTTATAATTTTCAATCTGACACATTTGACTTTCAAATAAATTTCAATTTCCCCTGCAAACTATAATATGCCATTTTAACTATTAAAATATATTTAAAATATTAATCATTTAAAATATATTTAATGATTATATTTTAATGATAACCACTGAGTTAGTATCATAACCAAAATCAGTTACCTGGCTTTGACAGTGTAAATTGCCATGTAGTATATCATTATATTATCATTGGGAGAAGCTAGGTGTAAGGTACATTAGCAACATTCGATAATAATTTTACAACTTCTTCTGATTATTAAATTATTACAAAATAAAAAAGGTATCAAAAATAAAATCCAATATCCATGGCAAGCTCCCAGTATCCCTGGCAACTTTTCTTTATTATTTTTCCACACCTGAAATCACCATTTGACAAATATATAATTTATTCTACACAGAACATAGATGATGAGAAAAATAGCTAGACATTCAGAATTCTATCTTATATGACCTCATTTATATAACATTCAAAGGCATGAAAAATGAATCAATAAAAATAAAAATAAGGATTACAGTTACCTAGGGTGCAGCTATTGATGGAGAAGTTTACAACAGGCCATCTGAAGTGTTGGTAGTATTCAGTTTATTAGTGAGAGGGGGTTACATGAGTGTGGTCAATTTGTGAAAATTCATTGAATTTTACACTTTTCTGCTTGAATGTTATTTCCCTTCCCCAGATGATGGTGTGTTTATTGACCTTCCCCCTGTCCTGGACTTCCAGAGGTCTTCACACTCCAACAGGAAGCTGTGCCACCTGTATTCCCTCCTGCCTGGCAGAGCAGTACTCACAGCAACCCACATTAGCTTGCTCATCCTCTCCTCAGGAGGATTACCGGGGAAGCTTTATGAACAGCTCCTGGGTCTCATCCCCAGAGCTTCTCATTGCAGAGTTCCAGGAAGGGGCCCAGGTGTGCACATTCATTTACATCTCCTCAAGGCATTCTGGCTGGTGGAGACAATTGACTGAGGTTACTTCTGATCCACCCACTCACAACAATCCAGTGTCCTAACACAGGAATCCAACTATGCCCAGCAATGTGCCACTTAGGTATCCTCTAACTGAAAATGACTAACCAATGATTTCTATATTAAATAGGAAGAATTCAGATGGGACCTAGGTATAGTAGGATTTTCCAGATATGCAGTATATCTCACATCTGAACCGTGTGGCTGTTCCAACCCAGCCAGCACCTAGGGTATAGAGAGCAAAAGTGCAGCTCCAGGCAGGAGACAGAAAAGGCAGGAACTAGGGTCCAGGTCCTAATGGAAACCTGAATTCTTGGCAAACAACCCAAGGCCAGCAGCAGGACAGTGGGACAGCTGGACAGGAGCCAGCGCAGGTTAGGGAAGGACAGCAAGGAAGTGGGATCTCAGCACTCACGTCCAGCAGTGGGTGCAGGTGACAGGGGCCCTGCTCAGGCTGGGAAGGCAAGATCTATCCATTCCCAGTTGCACAGGGCAGGGTCTTCCTATTTTCTTCCAAGATTCAATTATGAGTCGCATATCAATACTATAAAGCAACATAGATGTGCCCTAATAGAGAAAGAGGGCATAACAGAAACACTGAGAAGGCATCAGCCCAGCCCCAGAGTCAGGGCAACAAATATCCCTGTGGGAATGGCAGGGGGATCACAAACACCTTCACTGAGCAGAAGGCACCACACTTGACAGGGGGGTGGGGAGCTTGCTAAGAACCTTGGGGTTTACCTTTCAAACAATGATTAGTGGTTTAGTTAGATCTGGGTTTTAAAAGTGAATTGACTGGGTCATGCAGTCATTATGACAGTTATCCATAAAACGGTAGTAAGCAACTAGTGTCTAAATTCACTTTAATTTCTTTGCTCTGTAACTTTCATGTAGAGAAAAAAATTGAATCTTTACTGTGGATAACAAGGACATTATTCTAAAATACAATTCAACTTATACTTACAACTCCAGAAAGTAAAGGTAATGCAGATTTTTTTCTTTAAAGAAAAATCTTTTGATACTATAGGAAAATGGAGTACCCTGAAATCTGCCAAGGGGGATCCTACATTATAGGTTTTTAAAATAGACTAAACTAGTAAGGGACATCAAAGAACAAATTATGTTTAAAAGGCACTCCGTATTTTACTCCAGGTTCATTCAGCTATTGGAAATCTGCAGACTCCAGGGTGACGTGGCCAATTCAAAAGCACATTGGGATTTATATTCAAAATTGTGCCTACTTTCCTTTATTAAAAGGGGTTATGTAACAAAATATGTCAGGAAATGGCTGAAAGGAAAAATAATTCTATGAGGGGATCACCATAAATCATTAATCATGTGTCTTTATAATCCTTAATAGATTTTCTAGTGACATGGTCTTAACTGGTAATTTCTCCAAAAAGGATCCCTCCCTCAAGTAGAGATCAGAAGGAAATACATAGCTCTTGGAAAGAGCAGGCCAATGAACCCAGACACTTGGGTATGGAGGGGAAGCCATACCATTGTGGACCCTACACAGGAAAACACATTGCTTCCTATGTAGTTCAAATGTCTTATCTGACAATATTTCAGATATTCTTGCAAGGCCACATTAAATCCTATTTATAGTAGTAGGAATGCATGTGTGTGCATATGTGTGCATGCATGCGTATAAACCACATTACACATCTACATGTCTACATATGCCCCGTGCTACTGACTTTCGACCTCACCTGACAAAGATGAGAACACAGCAGCATAAGCAACAAGATCCACCAAAGGACATACAGAAATCTGTACTGAATTTTCCTATCTTCCTGCTCCCAGAGTTCTTGGCATTTAGTCGCAAAAATAATCATTGCGGTATCAACCAAATTTACCTTAGCTGCTTCAACGTAACAGAGAAATTCAGTCATTTCAAAGTGAAAATACACTGAGACAAATAACTGGAAACATTATCTCACAGCTTGGCCCCTGATCTTTTGAAATTTTCTTTCCTGGTGTCAGTAACTCACACCAATCAACATGTAAAAAATAATAAAATCTTAACGCATTAGAACTATGTATAATGCTGATCAGATACAGTTTTTATTTTACAACCTCCAGGATGAATTTTTCTCTTCCTCTCTTTTTGTAGGAGTAAGTGCAGCTGAGAATGAGCCCTTAGGAACCCACCTTGGCCATTGCAGAAGGTCCCAGTGTAGCAGAACTCTCAAGAGGAGAAGTATTGTGCCCTGCGTGGCCAGTTCCACAAAGATCCAGCCCAGAAAGTCCATCTTAAAGGGACTCACATAGGAATCAATGCCGAAGCTGTGGGTCAGGTCATATTTGATCTGATTATAGCAGAGTTCTATCAGTCCTTGACCAAGGCAGAATTGAGGAAAAATAGTAAAGACCCACTTGAGGACATCATAGATATTTTGTAAATTCTGTACAGTGAAAAAAAGAAAAAAATCCAATTAAAAGCTATTCCCTTTTTCATAACATATACCAACAACTTCTTTTTCTCCTTAGTTACTCTGTGTTCCAAGTCTTCCCTATCCCAACTACTCACTGATATTCTCAGACAGCCATCAAAACAAAGCAGATCCTTCTTGAGATATTAGATCTACTGGTATTTACCTTTCAAAGTTTTCCTTGCTTGAGAACAGTGATGATTTTTACATCTATTTTTAAGGAAATCACAACGATCTCTACACAAGTATGAACAAAAGTGTTAGCAATATATGAACACTACGTTAACAAATAATCCATACATAAAAGGGGGATGCAGCTGCACAAACTCACAGAATAACCATCCATAAGTGTTCGATTTAGGATTATGTGAAAATTTTGCAAATGAAAATTATACAAAGAAATAAATTAGGAAACACAAGTGTTTGCTCGCCCTACATCCCCCTCACTCCAATAGGAAGCCTCACCAGTGGGAAAGAGAGATGTTCCAGATCTTGTGTTTGAACTTAAAATGTGTCATCATATAAACTGATTTGGTAACAATGAAAATGATTTCATTTACACTATCGTTTGTAAACACAATGGTTAAATACTGGTTACACTAGATATTAAGACTTATTGTTGACCTTTGTGGAAGATGCAGTGGCAATTCCTCAAAGATCTAGAACCAGAAATACAATTTGACCCAGCAATCCCATTACTGGGTATAAACCCAAAGGAATATAAATCATTCTATTCCAAAGATACATGCAGGCATATGTTCACTGCAGCACTATTCACAATAGCAAAAACATGGAATCAACCCAAATGCCCATCAATGATGGACTGGATAGATGGATACACCGTAGAATACTATGCAGCCATAGAAACGAAGGAGATCATGTCCTTTGCAGGGACATGGATGGAGCTAGAAGCCATTATCCTCAGAAAACTAATGCAGGAACAGAAAACCAAACACTGCCACTTACAAGTGGGAGCTGAACAATGAGAACGCATGAACACAAGGACGGGAACAACACACATTGGAGCCTGTTGGGGGATAGGGTGGGAGACAGAGAGCATTACGAAAAATAGCTAATGCATGCTGGGCTTAATACCTAAGTGATGGGTTGATAGGTGCAGCAAACCACCATCGCACACTTTTATCTATGTAATAAAACTGCACATGCTGCACATGTACCCCAGAACTTAAAATATTTTTATTTTTTTTAAACAAAAGACTGATCTGAGAATCCAGTCACCTTCCTTGGTTTCTTTCATTAATTCTATAAGAATTAATGCCACAAAGCTCCATAACCTACAAATGAAAATTTGAAATTATTTGAAATAAACATTTGAATAATGTTGCTTCCTAAGCAAATAATATCAAAATAAAAGAGCAAAGGAAAAGAAAGACCCAAACAAAAGCAATAAGCTGCTTTTTATTATTTTTTACCAACTGATGTACATCCATTTTCGGCAAACACCTCATTGCTGTTGATTTTTTTTTACAAGTAAGCAATGCTGTTTATCAATAAAAGTAACAATGCCTTTCCACTTGCCACACGGGTAGAACCTCATGAGTGGAAAGGTTCCTGGTCCGCTTCCTCTTTGGATATGGACAATTCTCCTTCCTTTTTCTTTTGGAGCTAAATCTCACTTCTGTGACTCCACTCCCCAGGGCAGCTCTCTGCTTCCAAGTTCCTCAGCACTAGGATTATCTACTATGAGTCTCTTTTCAGTTTCACCATGGTTCATGGTTGACATCCTCATGGTTCATGTCATGTTAGAGATCCGATGAGGGAGGAGGAAAATTGTACACTATCTCTACTGATTTCGATTTTCTTCTCAAGCTAAAGCCAATTAATTGTTCTGCAAGTTTTCTCTTTAAAGTGTAGACATATTAATATAAATCAGTGTCAATAATAAATCTGTAAAAAATCACCAAAATGGATTATTACCTTCACTGAATGCATAATCGATGTTTATAGAGTTCACTGCTTCTATCAAAATAGGAAGCACAATAATAAAAACTAATGTTAGCTATCATTGGCAAATCTACTAAGTCTCTGAAAGCGCAGCCATGAGGAAGTAGACTCATCCCAATTAAACAGGCATCAGCCCCTGTTTGATTTTAAATGAGAACTGCAGCACATGCTTCAAAACTAGGAGCTCAGTAGCTTTTCCAGGTCATTTTCTCAGCCTCTGAGTTGGCCAAACATTTGGGAACTACTGAGGAATCAGACTCCATATAAACAGCAAGGAATCAGGAGAGAACAGTGTGGCCAGAGCTGAGAAAAGAAAACAGAATGAAAAGGATTGCAATAAGGGGGACAGAGGACAGTGCAAAATCTGAAGTCCTTACCTCCAGGTAGCACCGGGGATGCTGAGGGGCTGACAGAGGTATTAAAGCAGAGGCAAAGACCCAGGTAGGCCTCACTAAGGGAGGAGACAGGAGTGAAAGGAATGTGGCAGGACGAATGGGTTCAGCTTGACCTAGACACCTGCTGGAGATGACACTTAAGAAATGACTTGCCAATCGGAACGGCCTATTGGAGAGTGGCGCTGATCTCACAAGGAGAAATTCTTCCTGACCATGGGCCTTATGCTCAGGAAAGCCCTTGGCTGCCACACTTGGAAAATAGCAAAATTAAATTTGTTCCAGAAATCACAGAGAAGAGGGCAGAATCCCCCAGATCATCATTCAGACATGCTGTGCCCTGAGAGCATGATCAGCTGTGGTATGGCCCATCCTACCTTGTAGAGTCTGACCCTAACAATAGTGAACATTGAGAGGGCGTGTTTCAATGACTCACTGTTCCGCCATTCATCAGTAATTCATCAACAGTCTCTGATGAAAATGCTGGGGATATGGCAGTGAACATCTTCATGACTCTACCTTCAAGAATGGAGTGGCTGAAACAGCACATCTTTTAACCAATTGTTGCTAAGCCTTTTTATAATGACTTTTATAATGGCAACATGTTTTTTGTTAATTAGAATCAATTTATCTTTCTGGAGTTTAAAGACAGTGGATACCAATGCATTTCCATTGAATTCCAGTTGGAAAAGCAACAAGAGACATGAGTTAACACCGTCTTTGCACTAGAGGTGCAGAAGTGTAGAGGTGATGCTACAAAGCTACTGACCTTAGCTTTGGAGATGATGGCTAGCAACCGGGGCATGACGGTTATGAGCATGGTACAAAGGCCAAAGATGAAGTTTAGTGAGACATAGGAAATGAAAGCCACGTCTGAACTGGAGAAGATTCTGGACATCAGGTACATCCACGGAAGAGTTGCATATCTGAAAAGTAAAGTAAAAAGTCATGTTTGTTTTACTGTAATATTTATAGTAGTTTTCTCTTATCTATGGCAGATACATTTTAAGACCTTGGGGTGAATCCCTGAAAATGCAGATATTACTGAACCTTATACACTATGCTTTTCCCCATACATGCAACCTATGATAAGGTTTGATTTATAAATTAGGCACAGTGAGAGAGTAAGAACAATGACTAATATAAAATAGAACAATTACAGTAATATGCCAGCATGCCTACTCTAGCACTTTGGGGCCATCTAGTAAAACAAGGGTCTCCTGAACACAAGCACTGCCAGGCTGCGACAGTCAATTTGGTAACTCACTGACTCCCAGATCTGAAGTGAGGATGTGCTGGACAAAGGGGAAATTCACGTCCCTGCCAGGACAGAGCAGGACAGTACAAGATTTCATCACGCTACTCAGAACATTGTGCCCTTTAAAACCGATTGTTTATTTCTGGAATTTTCCATTTAATATCTTGAGACCACAGTTGACTGTGGGTAACTGAATTCTCTGAAAACAAAAATGCAGGTAAGGGGACAGCCATAAGACTGAATTATAGATGCAATTTTATTGGCCCAGCAATTTTTCCTCACTTGGTGAACAGAAATGAACTTTACATAAATACATTCCATGGTATTTTTCGAAGACAACACACTCTTCCTGGGGCTTCAGAGGACTCTGCAATGCAATAGAAAGAACACAGGATGGGGTCACAACACACGGGCTGTACATGGGCCTGAACTCGTTGGCTCTGTGGCCTGGAGAAAGTCAGCTGACTTCTCCAACTTTTCTTCCCCAAAAGGAGCTTCTTTGCTCTGCTTCTCGTCAGGAACGCAGGAATAATACTTAGTTGTTATATTGAGAATTAAAAGATATCAAGAATATAAAAAGCTGCAGAGCTACATAAAAAAATGAGGCCTAAAAATGAACACTGAAAGCCTTCTTCCAGCATCCATTGCACAGAGGTACCATCTGTAATTCCTCAGTGTGCCCTATTCTTCCTTTAGCCCCCAGCAACCCAGGAGACAGCACTGTAACCATCATCTCACAGGCAAAATAATGGGGATTTGCAGAGTTCAGACACTTGATCGAGCTTTGCAGGTGACAAGTAGGTGAAGCTGAACATGGGGTTCATTTCCATGTGGCCACAAAACCGGGGAGTAAGAAGCATTGCTAAATATTGAACCCTAGAAGCAGTCCCCACATGTGTCAGATGACATCAGGATCTAAGATACCACCCAAACGTCCCTAAAAGGAAAACATTTCATTTTCTTCATTCTGTCTCCTCCACTCTAGAGCCAGGTTTCACTCATGGCAATTTCCCTCAGCTCCTTCCTGAAATAATACCACTGCACCCAATAAAGGAAACACACTTTGAATGATGGTTTCTAATATCAGCAGAGAAGTCACTGATTTTGAATCACAACTTTCCCGAAAGATTCTCATGTATCTGGAGCTCCAACAAGTTCTCTGCTCACTCAAGGTAAATGTATCACTGTTTTCTTATGGTGAATAATTGGCTTAACCTGAAACATTTCAGTGCCTGCAAAATGTCTGAGATTTTCTTAATATGTTAACAAGTTCTGAAAAGCATGAGACTTCAAAATGATATAAGAGATTCCAGGCTTTCAAGTTAACTCTTAGTCTAGTATACACTCCCTTTCATATGATATCTATGATATTGGAATGCTTTCCTGGGTTAAAAGATACATTCTCATAGTTCATTAGATATATATAATATGATATATAAAATCATATAGTGTTTTAGACACTCTAATTAATAGCAATCTGCTTCAAAATGTGGGCATGAAGATAATTCTTTCAAAGCACAAAATGGAGGCAAGAGTTGTTCTAAAGCAGTTGCTGCATAAGATAATCAACTAATTAAATCAAAATAATTACCAGAGAGGTAAGTCATGACTTCTTAGGGCTGTACATTATCAACACCTCTGTCTGAAATAAACTACCACAGACAGAATTCAAAACCCAACACATATTCACCCACGCCACACACCTCCCCTCTTTCCTTTATTGTCCCTTCTGAGACAAAAATCAAGTGCTACACTCTGTCATGCGACTGTTTTGAGTATCAAATGAAATCATAGAATTGCAAGTAATTTTGCAATGAAAACATAAGCAGTAGTAGAAGTTTGTGAGCCAAATTTCGGGGCAGCTGTAACTGCCATAAAATTCATTCTAAGAGTGAATGAAAACCCTCTCCAACTTATAACTACCGATTCTAACTCTACATTCTGGAACAACATGTGACAAATTGCTTTTCTTTTCCATGTGACAGTCCTTTAAATAGCTGAGGATAGCCATGTTATTCCGCTTAAACCTCCACTACAAAAGACTGGGTCTTTCTCTGCTCCTTTAACAACATGATATTCAACCAGCTCTCTCTGTTAAATTTTGCATTGTGGAACTTAGGGGAGTTTAGGTAAGGCCACCTCACAGAGAACATGATGTGGTTGGCCTGGCACAACACACAGCAAGATTATCATCTGCTTTGATCAGCATCTCCACATTCAGCAATACAATCTAAGGGTGCAGCAGCCTCCCTGTCTTGCTGTGGAGCCCGCATACCCGATCTGCACTTGAGGGACTAATTAGCACCTCAACACTAGGCTCTACTTCCTTTGAGATGGTTCAGCATCTGTACTTTGTTATTTATTACATAAGGTTTCCATGCTGGGTTATGTCATTTAAATATTTGACAAGTGGATCAAAGCATTATTTAAGAAAAACAAAGAATCAGAGACATAGTCCTAAATGAAGTCACACAAGAGTTCCTGTTGCTAGATGAATGAAGAGTCTTTCAGTGTGGTTTTCAACTGGCTACGATTCCATCACTTTTTTTATTACATTTTCATTAGTTATCTTTCAAATGCTTGGCTCAAATGAACATATTCGCAGTTCCAGTCTCCTTTCTTATAAGAAAAAAATGAAATTGGCTTAGAGAGCATAATTTATTTTTTTGTGAAAATTACAGTGAATTTCAATAATCTCCAGGCTTTTATTAAAATATAATATCATTTTAATGATTTTAAAATTTGCTAGAGATTGACCTACTCTTCACAACATCATGGAATTTATGGGGGAAGAAAATTCCCCTTTTGAAAATCAGCCACTTCCCCATGCTCTGTGAATTTCCCAAGAGACCAAACAGGATTCTGTAATCTCATCTTTTGGCACTAAATATACATCAAATGTGTTCTTAAGGTTTCAATTTTTATGTAAGCTAGGCTCTGTTTTCTTTCATTCATTTCAGATGTTACTTCCCTCTGTTGGATGCTAATTATCTCTGACTCTCCCTTTTGTAGTTTAAATAACAAACTGTCCTTGATAGAAAGAAGAAAAACAATAAAACTGCTATTGAGCATATTTGTCTTGTTATCTCTTAAAAGAATCAATTCATGTATACTATCCCTTATTCTTTTTTTTTATTATTATCATACTTTAAGTTCTAGGGTACATGTGCATAACATGCAGGTTTGTTTCATATGTATACTTGTGCCATGTTGGTGTGCTGCACCCATTAACTCGTCAGCACCCATCAACTCGTCATTTACATCAGGTATAACTCTCAGTGCAATCCCTCCCCACTCTCCCCTCCCCACAATAGGCCCCGGTGTGTGATGTTCCCCTTCCCGAGTCCAAGTGATCTCATTGTTCAGTTCCACCTATGAGTGAAAACATGTGGTGTTTGGTTTTCTGTTCTTGCGATAGTTTGCTAAGAATGATGGTTTCCAGCTGCATCCATGTCCCTACAAAGGACACAAACTCATCCTTTTTTATGGCTGCATAGTATTCCATGGTGTATATGTGCCACATTTTCTTAATCCAGTCTGTCACTGATGGACATTTGGGTTGATTTCAAGTCTTTGCTATTGTGAATAGTGCTGCAATGAACATACGTGTGCATGTGTCTTTATAGCAGCATGATTTATAATCCTTTGGGTATATACCCAGTAATGGGATGGCTGGGTCATATGGTATTTCTAGTTCTAGATCCTTGAGGAATCGCCATACTGTTTTCCACAATGGTTGAACTAGTTTACAGTCCCACCAACAGTGTAAAAGTGTTCCTATTTCTCCACATCCTCTCCAGCACCTGTTGTTTCCTGATTTTCTAAAGATTGCTATTCTAACTGGTGTGAGATGGTATCTCATTGTGGTTTTGATTTGCATTTATCTAATGGCCAGTGATGACGAGCATTTTTTCATGTGTCTGTTGGCTGTATGCATGTCTTCTTTTGAGAAATGTCTGTTCATATCCTTTGCCCACTTTGTGATGGGGTTGTTTGTTATTTTCTTGTAAACTTGTTTGAGTTCTTTGTAGGTTCTGGATATTAGCCCTTTGTCAGATGAGTAGATTTTCAGATTCCTGCCTTTAAGCAGCCATTAATGCCTGGACTTGCTCTTAGGTTTCAGTTCGGGATTCGGCTTTCCTGAGTTTGCCCTTGGGCTCCCTGTACCCACAGATCCTTAGAGGGACAACAGGCATGAGCCATTTCTGCTATCCTCACCCAGAGATTGCCAGGCACACAGGAGACAGTGGTTCCCCAGACCAGGTCTCTCACTGTCCCTCCTGTTACAGTGGGGGGTCACCAGTTCCACTGGCTGTGCTCCATGAAGAAAGAGCTACCTTCTAAATCTGCATCCCCATGGACGTCACCCGGTGGCCCTGATTGACTTCCCTTGGGGGCTCTTCTTCCCTGGAATTAGCTGTGACCACAAATACAGTCTGAGTTATCTTTGACATCTTTCCAGTCCCTGCAACCTAAGAGTTCTTAACCAGAAGTGTGTAACCCCTATTGCCTATGATTGTGCTTTAACAGACCTGTGAATCTCCAGAAATTCTTTGAAAAATGTGGTAGTTATGTATGTAAAGAGAATTCTTAGTTTAATTCAAATTCTTTTTTTTTTAAATGAAGGTATTCAAATTCAAATTCGTAAAGGGTTTCAAAATCAAAACAACATTAATAAAAAATTCTAAAAGCATGTTTTTAAGGCTTTCTAACCATTTCATCTAAGTTTTAACTCAGTTTTTGAGATATACTCTCCTAAAATTCAAAAAATAATTTTATAGCAAAGTTTATTTTACTCGAACTAGAGGGAGACATGACAACACTATCCATTCAATTGGATCAATAAACTGAAATCAAACTGTGTTCTTAGAGCTGGGTACACACACATATAGATCTTTATACACAAGTCCATAAATTTCTAGTTAAATATAATAAACATATGTCTACTATAAGCATGCTTTATAGCTTAGGATATTACATCTTCTAAAGAGTAAAATAATTCTAAAGAGTAACAATAATGGCTAAAATTAATTTAATGAGTACTTTGTACGAGTCATTGTCCATGATATTTGCATAAACTATTTAATTTAATCTTTATAGCAAAAGACATGAAGTTTTATAGAGAAAAAACTGAGCATTAGACAGAATAATTAGTATTACCAAAGCCACAGAATTGGGGTTAGTGAGTAGTAATATCAATGTTCCCCCAAAAGTTTGTCTGTCTGTCTTGTTTCTCTCTCTCTCAATCTCTCTCTCCCTCTCTCTCTTAATCTCTCTTTCCCTCTCTCTCTTAATCTCTCTTTCCCTCTCCCTCTTAATCTTTCTCCCTCTATCTCTCTTTCTCTCTCTCTCTTATCTACCTACTTCCATCCATCCACCCACCCACCTACACATTCATCTAGTAATAGTACATATTTGTTTAAGTAAAACTCTGTCTCTAATTAGACGTTTTGAATAATTCTAGGCCACTTATATAAATACAAACTGTAAATATCATTTTATTTGCAATCCTCTTAAATAAAAGCAAGTTGTTTTATCTTTTAAAATAGCCTTGAATTATAATAAATTAGTATGATAATTATTTTCCCTACTAAGTATCTCTTATGTAGTTAGCCTGTATATAAGCACACATGCATGACACATAAGAAGACGTATATATCCTGATACCAGGTAGATATAATTTTGAGGCCACTAGCAATGATCCTGACTAGTATGCATAAATCAGAAATTCATAAAATGACTTTTCTCCATTTGCTATTTTTTCATCTGAGAAAAAAAGTGATAGAAATTAGACAAAACATTTTCAAACTACTAATATTATAGGAGAGGAGATAAAAACGCCAGATAGCTTACTGAGAGAACCTCCACAAATGCAATCTCCCAGCTAACTGGATTATGTATTTGAGCCCCTGATTAATGTCAAAGTGAGAATAATAGAGAATCCATTTCCAGCTGCACAAGTTTGTCAAACAGCTTGAGGGTCTGTCTGAGACAGGGCAGAGCTGTCTTCATCACGACCAGGTCAGCCCTTCCTTCCTCCACAGGGCATTCATCATCCTACTCAGGCTTGTTTGCTCCGTGTCCCTTGCAAAAGCAACATAATTGCTTCAAAAGAGAGGAAATCATGAAGTCGACAGTAGGTTCAAAGCCATCCTGAGGGTTTTCTTTTTCAGAAAACAAACCGTAATTCTGCAGCAGCGTTTCTCATCACATACCCGAAAAGTGACAGCAGGAGGGCCGTGGCTGCCAAGTTCTCGCGGAAAGTAAAAGCTGTTAACTGGAAGGCGACAATAACAGCAACACACAGGCAGACGGAAACCAAGTAAAAGAGCTGAGAAAATAAAAAGAAATAAAGGAGAGCTGTTACATCAGATGGTCATATTGATTATCATATACTTATCCTGAAGTTTCCTTTCAACTTCACAAATATATTTCCTATTTTGCACATTAGGAGTTCTGTAGCCATGGAATTAGTCCTGGAAAGTCACTTATTATAACCTGAGTTGTATCCCCCCAAAATTCATATGTTGAACCCCCAGTATTTCGAGATGTGACTGTATTTGGAGACAGGGCTTTAAACAAGTGATTAAGGTAAAATGAAGTCAATTGGGTGAGCCCTCATCCAACATGACTGGTGTCCCTAGAAGAGATCAGGATGCAGTCACTCACAGAGGGCTGACCATGTGAGGACACAGGGAGAGGATGGCTGTCTACAAGCCAAGGAGAGAAGCCTCAGAAGAAACCAACCCTGCCAACACCTTGATCTCAGATTTCCAGCCTCCAGGACAACGAGAGAATCAAGTTTACCTGGTGAAGGCACCCAACCTGTGGTATTTTGTTATGACAGCCTGAGGAGACTACTACTGTCATGCATACCCATCTCCTTTGAGGAGGGTCAAGGAATCCAATCAGCTTTCAGGAAACACAGCCTCCTCCCACACATGTAGAACCAAGGACAGACTCCTCACACTACCTCTCTATCCAGCCTCACCTTAAGGTGCTCCCCACAGGCCAACAACAGCCATGGCTTTCTTTGGGGCTGTCACACAACTGGCTCCTTCTTCTCTTAGAGCCTCAAGTTGCAGAGCTCTTCCTGCATGTCATCCATGGGGAGGGCCCCTTCTTACCTCACAGATCTCAGCTTAAGTTTCACTGTCTTCTTTGACCTCCACATTTGAAGTCATTCTCCATCCCGTCATTCTCTTTCATTCTATCAATAGACCCAGTCATGGGCCAACTGTATCTTGTACATTTATTTATTTGTTTGTTTACTTGCTTGTTTTCTGCTTCCTCTCATGAAAATCTCTTTGAGGGGAGCAATCTTCTCTGTTTTATGCATGGTTTTATGCCCAACACCGTTTGTGGGGCAGTGATAGAATAACATAGACCAAGTGTCTTATAAACCACACAACTTTATTACTCACAGTTCTGGAGGCTGGAAAGACCAGAATCAAGATGTTGGCAGATTCAGTGTCTGGCAAAGGCTGGTTTCCTGGTTCAGACTGTGACTTCTCACTGTGTTCTCACACAGAACTCTCTGAGGCCTTTTTTACAAGGGCACTAATCCCATTCAGGAGGGCTCAACCCTCAGAACCTAATTACCTCTCCAAGATCCCACCTCCAAATACCATCACACTGGGGTGATCAACATATGAAATTTGGGGGGACATAATCATTTAGTCCATAGCAACCTTGTACACACCTTGACCCACAACAGATCCTCAAAAATTTTATTAAATCAATGATTGAATAGAATAAGCAGAGAATGATTGGATGAAGATGGAAACCATCCAAACAAGAAGCAAAGAACCCTCTCTGTCCTTAATCCCCAAGGTCAAACATCACAGAGTAAAGAAAAGCCAGACTGACTGGGAGGCATAAAGAGATAATAAACTAAGGATGCAGAAAGGAAGCAAGATCCTGGGGTTTTGGAGACTTGGAAAGCCCCATGGTGTCCTATAAGCATGGCCCCCTGTGTGTTGTGATTTTCTCTTGCCACACCCTTCTTCCCTGTTCCCTGGGAAAGTTGTGGCCCTTAGACACTGTTAAATGACAGATGGAAGAGAGTCAAGTAGCCAGCAGCAGTGTGTAGTGTTGTGAACAAAACTGGACCAGGAGACAGAGGCTGGCACTGAGAAGCCATCTCTGTACCAACTAGAAGTAAAACCTCGTACAAGTCACTTCCACTTACCTGCCTTCAAGTGTCCCTCAGTAAATATAAGGATTTAAAGACCCATAATTTGTCAATCTTGGTTAAGATTCATAAATCACCTTGAGTACCTAGTAAAACACAGACCTCCAAGTCCCCCTAGTCCTATTGAATAGAATCTTGAAGGATAGGCCCTTGGGAATCCTTATTGTTACCAAATGTCCCAGGTGATATCTATCACCAGGCAGGTTCAGGGAAACTTCTGATTAAATTAAATGAACTCCTGAAATGTTCGGTAACTTAGGTGTGATCCCTATAAACTGTACTTTCAAAACAAAACAAAACAAAACAAAAATCCAAGTTACACCATCAAAAGGAAATAAATTAGCTAAATTCTAAGCCAGCTCAAAGAAATAAACCTTACAGGAAAGCAACATGTTAATATGTGGAATTTTGTGCAGAGTGTAGCACAGCTCGGACAGCACCTGGTGTGTGGAAGGTGCTCAGTAAATGGTAGCCCTCCAGCCTTCCACTGACTTACATATGACTTTCTGTATCACAGGATGAATCATATGTATGAGGGCAAGGACATCACTTTCCTACAAAATAAAGACAGCTCCACCAAATAACAATAACAGTAGATATTGACCACTAAGAACAACTTATCATATAAGATGCATTTTTTTTTTTAGTTAAGATAAATGTCCTGAAGAATAGGGAACACCTAGACAAAGCATCCATTATTGTCCCTAAGGACTAGAGACGCTGATCTGGAGGGTTTCCACTGGGGAACTGAGTGCATTCCAGAAATGCTAGCAATACCTGCCATACCTATTAGGCAATGAGGCACAGGTCTCACAGAAGCGAGTGTTAGGCATGCAGATGAAAGATCATTTCTAGTGGTTTTTATCATCTCACCTACTACCCCGTTGAGAAAAGCATAGTAAAGGTGATTATCTCCTCATCTCCTCAGGAAGAAACTTTGCATCTTTGTGAAGTTCTATAATTTCCGAGTTCTCCAGCCTGAAGCTTGTCAGTCTTCCCATTAGGAACCAATTCTATGGTGATCAGTAAAGGTAACTTAATCTGAAATGCTCTTATCAATAACATGACCCCTTCTTGTGGACACTCTGAGGCAGCCAGGGCCCCACACTCCCCTCCATCCTTCCATACACACACACGATTTAGATCACTATTGTGGAAGCACACAGAATCTCATTCCCAAATCATACCATGTCATATAGGAAGTTTGTGAACCAGTACATTCTGTAGCCAAGGCCACTTATGTGCTGCAACCTTTTGGCTCCAATCACTCTGTCCCTCACCACGGAGCTGCCGATGGATGCAGACAGGATGGAGAATCCCAGCACGATGCAGAGGGCCACTCCACACTGACGGATGCTCTCCAGGCTGCGGGCAGAACAGAGCAGCTCTCAGGCGCCAGACGAAGAACACAAGCCTTCTTTGCTAATAACAATCAGCAATGATGACAGCAGTGAAAACTGCTAATTAAAAATTCATAATCAGCCAGGCATGTTGACTAAGGGCATGGATTCCCTCATTAAGGCCCCTCAGTCACCTTTTGAGACATGGATGACTAAGCTCAGTTTACAGAAGACATAACTGAGGAGCACAGTTTGAGGGCATTTCAGAGCTTTCTTGTGTCAAACTCTGCTCTTCACCATTGAGCCTGACTCCCAATTAAGATGAAAGATATCCTCTGAGCAGCATCCGGGTAAGCTGTGACCTTTTCCCACACGGGGACTGCTTTGCAATGCAGTAGCATCTGCCAGAGAGGAGCCTTCACTACAGCTGCACACTGTACTACTGGCCCATCTCTGAATTTAGTCACATGAAATGCCAAAGAGATTTTGCAATAGATTGAGGTGCTTTGTAATAATATACACTGTACATTTTCTTAGTAAGGGTTTCACCTGGAGCACTACTACTTTCACTCAAGTCAATTGCTGCCTCCTCTCAACCCCTCCCTTCTTTAGGAACAATCAGACCACAGATGGTCTTTCAGGAGGCCGACACGATGGAACTCCTCAGCACAAGTCATCTGCTGTGCCATGCCTTCTGCTCCATTGTGTCGCACTCTACAACAGATGTCAGCTAGCCTACTCTTGGAATTCTGGAAGGTGTCAGACACTGTTAAAGCTAGAATCCTGAAAATCATTATGGGAATGTGAGGACAAGCTGCAACCCAACCCATGCTTCCTGCCGGTTCCTGCCAGATTAACAACTTGAGCAGAGAATGCCCATTAAGCAGATTTGCATTCTCCAACTTAATTTGGTAGGTATTTTAAATTATTTTAAAGTATTTTTAAATACCTATTTTTATTATTGACTTTTAATTAACAGTTTGTCAACCATATCACAGAGAAGGGAGATGGGGGAGAAAGAGAGAAGACAGGTGGAAGTGTGCTACCCTTTACAAAGACAGTGAGAACTGGCACAGAATTCTGTACCTGAAGAGCTCTGGCCTTATCCCCGCCCATGTCTCCATCTGGATCTTGAGGAAAATCTTGCATGAGAAATATTCAAGGAGGCATTACTATGTTGACCTACATGAATACAATGTTTATGATTTTAACCCCAAAAACTCTTTGGAAGGTGTACAGCCACATAAGCTTCTGGTAAATCATTCCCTTAGAATAATTTCTGCTTAGAAGTACAGTTGCATGACATAATCATCTGTTTTAAGCTCAGTCAATGCACCGCCTCTCTTAATAGTCATTTTTCTCACACTTTGCAAAGAAATGCTCAAGTCCTGTGGGCATTTCTTACTAACTCTATAAGCCATCTCTTGGGGCAAATACAAAAGAGAGACCAAAGTCATCCCTAAGTAACCCACAGATTTTCTTCCATAGTCAGAGTGACACACCCCTCAGCATTCTGTCAACTCACATCCTGTCCTCATTCAGCAAGGCCCCTCCATATGGGTGGCTGTAGAGTGTTATTCCTGTGAAAGACAAATTGAAAAGTAAGCCTTCAGCCTGCTCATGGTGAATCGCGGCTCATCTACAGGCTACGCAGATTCCCTGTGCCATCACGATGTATCCTGCTTGCTTTGCCCATGCCCCGGCCGATTAGCAGAAAAGAATGGCAAATGGCACTGTGAAATTCAGCAAATATGTGCTGGGATTTCTGTCACTGATGTTGTTGTCAAACATAACCAGTATGACTTGTTCATGCTTTACATGACAGGCACTGTGTTTACAGGTTCTCACATTTTATTGTCTAATCCTCATAAGTATCCCATAGCCTATGTTTGCAGAGAGGAAACTTACTCTGGCTAAGTAACAATACGCAAATAAGACTATTTCATATGTATCAGATCAATATTCACTTCTAGATGAAGCCAGGTCTAGATAGATAGAAAACTGAACTGTTCCATTGAACCAATTTTGGTTTAGGAGTTGTTTGTTTTGTTTCACTTTGCTTGCTTTCTTGGGCTTATGCATGTGTGTGATGCCAGCAGCCAAAATGAAGAAATTGCCATCAGCTTATCAATTAAAAGGATTTTATTATAAGAGCTGTTTATAATATCACCGAGTGGGATAGTGCTTCCCTAGAGAATTCTAGTCAATATTGTGTTAAGAAGAATTCCATAAATAAAATCAGTTCGTGTTTTATCTTGGACATTGTAGACTGTGAAAGTAATCAGGTTTCCTTTTCCTAATTGGTTGTGTCAGTGATTGGAGTCAAATGTGTGGCTTGTATGTGGAGGCCATTACCAAAGGCACAAATCCTTGCTCCATTTCATTTTGCCAGTCCTAGATTTTGCTTATTTTTCTTTTGGCTCACCTTTAATTTACCTTATCATCTGTATTTTAATTTATCCTATCACCTGCATTTTAATTTATCTTATCATTGGTATTTTGCATTGCCTTATGAAAGCATATTAAATTCTTACTGAAACATCATGGGGTATAAGTAAACATACATAAAAGGTACAGAGTTGGAACAGGCTACAGTGCTCCAAAATTCCAACAGTTTTGCCACCAAGCATCTGGACTTCTGTCCCTTTGCCACCTGCTCTTCTCCCCAGCTATGCCAGCCTTTTTTTCCTTCCACTGGGGACTCAGCTACACACTAAGGCAAGTTCTGGCTCATAGAAGCAACAACAGTAGGAGCTATTGGTTCAGCAAATCCACTGTACAGTGTTCCAGAATAATTTTTTTGATTATAAATTAATACTGCCCAGATATTCCAGTCCAGGCTCGCAGTGTGTGTGCCTGACACCTGCTGCATCGTCTGCTGGATCCTGGACTTACCACATTCATCATGAACTGAATTATGGTCTTGAACCCTCACCTGTCTGGACCAGTAACACCCACCAGTCTTTCTCCTATGTGTCTTTCTTTCACCAAGCTTGACTTCTGGCCTACTTCTCATGGGGCCTGCCAGTCCTGTCCTTCCTAGCTAAAGTGTTGACTCACAGGCAGCTTCTCACTTCATGTGCAGCCCAATGTCAACCAACCTTGTCAGGGGGTTGGAAAAAGTCAAGTGACATTAGATAGTGTTTATAAAGTATCAGATCCTGCCAAAGTATGGCCCGTGCCCCACTGGTGCTGTGGATGGTGGGAGTATATTTGCAATGTTGTGTGCTCTTCCAGATTCTACAAAAGAATGAGAACATTCTAGATTAAGAGGATCCCGAGAAATGTGGTTAGCTAAGTACATGTCTTGGAATTACATTATTTGAGGAACACAGTAGAATACTGAAATTGTTTAACCTAAATACACACACACACATACACACACACACACACTCTGGGGCAAATATCCCCATCATCTTCCCAGTCACCCAGGCTCAGAAAACACTAAGTCCTCCCATCTCCCTGCTCTTCTTAACCCCACACGTCCAAGAAGTTGCCGAGTCCTGTTACTTTCACCTGAACTCCATCCTCGCTGTGCAAGGCCTCACTCACAAACATGTGCATGCCTGCTCAGCTCGCTTCTCCACACACTCATGAATCCCCTCACCCAGAAAGTCTAGAGAACTTCCAGAAAGAAATAGAAAAATAGAGCCCATATTCTTTACCTAGACACAGATCTCCTTTAAAGTCAAATCCAATCTTTGTATTCTCCCACTGCTCCCATTTGAAAAGCTGGATTGTTATCATTTCCCCAAACTCTATGGCTGCAGGCATGCGTCATCATTTCCTTATGCTTCCTGTCCAGCCCTGCTGACACCCAACTCCTGCCTCATGTCTGTCCAACGCTGAATTAAATTTCCTTTGTTTTCAATTATTATTGCTTTCATTTTGTTTGTTTTGTTTCCAGCTTTATTCAAGTATAATTGATAAATAAAAATTGCGTACATTTAAGGTGTACAATGTAATGTTTTGATATATGTATACATTACAAAATTATTATCACAATTTTTATCCTGCTGGTGGGAATGTAAATTAGTAGAGCCATTACGGAAAACAGTATGGGGTGTCTCAAAAAAATAAAAATAGGTCTACCATATGCTCTAGCAAACCCATTTCTGGATATATGTCAAAAAATAAAGTAAAATAAAATACTATCTTGAAGGGATATCTGCAGGCCCATGTTCATTGCAGCATTATTCACAATAGCCAAGATACGAAAATAACCGGTGTCCCTTGATAAATGAATGGATACAGAAAATATAAGATAGACAGATATTCATGCACGTAATGGAACATTACTCAGCTTCAAAAGAGAAGGAAATTCTGTCTTTGAGACAATATGAATGAACATGAAGGACATTATGTTAAGTGAAATAAGCCAGTCAAAGAAAGGCAAACACTGCAAAATCTCATTTATATGTAGAACTTTTAAAAATCAAATTCACAGAAAGGGAGAGCAGAAGGCGTCACCAGGGGCCAGGGGAAAGAGGCAATGGGGAGATGTTAGTCAAAGGATACAAAATTCCAGACATAAGATAAAGGCTGGGCATGGTAGCTCACACCTGTAATCTCAGCCCTTTGGGAGGCCAAGGAAGGAAGATTGCTTAAGCCCAGGAGTTTGAGGCCAGCCTGGACAATATGGAGATACCCCATTTCTACCAAACAAATTGTTTTACTTATCAGGGCATGGTGGCATGCAATTGTCGTCCCAGCTACTTGAAAGGCTGAGGTGGGAGGACTGCTTGAGCCCAGGAGTTTGAGGCTGCAGTAAACCATGACTGGACCACTGCATTCCAGCCTGGCCAACAGAGTGAGACCTCATCTCTCTCAATAAATAAATACACACATAAGTAAATATATAAATAAGTTCTGGAAACCAGATGTATGGCATGGCAACTATAGTTAATAACGTTTTGCATACTAAAACATTTGCTGAGAAATTAGATCTTAGTTATCCTCACCGTGCACAAAAAGAGGATTAATTAAATTTTCAGGAGTATGAAAATTTAAAGGAGGTAAATGAAAGGTAAAAAGGAGGAGAGGAAAATCTCAAACTCTAAGTCCTTTCATACTTGTGAGCAGAAAGAAAGGGTTAGTAGCCAGAAATACACAAAAATTAGCCTGTAGCCATGTACTGTATGCTGTTTAGGACATTAGACTGTTTGTATAAATTCTGATAGAGCAACTATGTCACATCAGAAATATTATGCCTGTTTACAGAAGCAGTATCTGAAGCACAAATATTTAGGAAATCTTCCTATAGACTAACAGCTGTGACACAGCTGAGATTCAGACCTTGGTCTGCAGACACCACAATCATTTCCCTGCCAGCATATCATACATCTTTCTTCAGTACACATGTCTGGTTTTCCGAAGACTATAGCCATACAGTGGGAAAGATACAAGGCTGGAGGCTGAAGGCCTCTGTTCTGTTCATTCTGCAGTGAAAAGCTGCCAAAAGAACACTGCTGTTTCTGTGGGGAGCTCAATAATAAAATGTTAAAATACCAAGGTTGGATCTTTATTTGATCAAGTGGCATAAATACTTTTCTTTACCTTAAACCATGACAGTCATTGCTGAAAGATTAAAAACAGTGCTCTCATATTTGCTTTCTGTATCCTAGTTCCTCTGTTATGAATTTATTGCCCTTCATTTTAGCACATTTCCTGGATTTGTGTCATTCTTTTAGGGTTTTAATCTAGGAGGCGAGAGTACATCTGGTCTCCCATCTCGCTGGTGAAATGATTGACTGCTCCTGTAGTTAGTAATTCCCCAATGTGCCAGATCTTCTACTGGATGTTTTCATAATACATTTTCTCATTCAGTAATCTGATGGTGAAATTGTATTAAGGAAGCTAGTATACTATGCACAGTTCTTTGTAAGTCAGCTTCAGCATTTTAGAACGGTAAATTATTATAGGAAAATGAAATCCCATGAAGTGGTCTAGCTTGGACAGGCCCTTGTGTTCCAGAAGCAGAAACAGAATCAGAGGAATGTAGTGACTTTTCCTGGAGTCTGGAACTTGCTCCTGATACAGGCAGAACCCACGTGTCTGGAGTCCCAGGTCTGTGCCTCTTTCTTCAAATCACCTACTAACATACAGAGCACTGATAATCCTGCCTGTACAATGAGCCGCAATGGATCCCAATGACAGCATAACATAGAAATGAAAACCTCAACTATGACAGCAGAATAGAGCAGCTGATAAATTTCACATAAAGAACTTCAGGCGAAAGCCCACTGATGGCAGCCATCCTGCCTTCTCTTCCAATTTTTTGCACATAGCTATAATCCTCCATGACCTCTGTCTCCGCCTAGGTCTCAGAAGTAAAAAACCACTGGTGCAAATACAAGAACCCCCCAAACTACAGTGGCTGCCTCTCCCTTCCTAGGTCCCTTACTCATAAATAATTCAGAGGGGCCACAGATTTTCAATTTGGCACTGGCTTTAGAGTCCTATAATTTACATGATTGTCACAGAGTAAATATTTAAAGACACTCTGTTGAAGAACACAGTGATCTACAGTTCCTCTCACAGGGCCCTCTAGGGAATCCTCATGGCCTTGGAATGGGGCCTT